AACTGAGTGACACTCCAAGAATGTCATTCAATTATATGTTTTGTGAGTTCTTCTCAATGGTTGCTTAGTCGAAGAAAAGCAAAGCACAACGTAGCATTGTAGATACACGATTACGAGGTAAAAGAGAAGAAATAATACGAAATGGACGATGAGGACGATAAGAACAGTCGAGTGCTGGCGGCAAGGACAGTGAAGGCGAAAGAAGACGAAAGAGAGAAAAGCTCTAGGGTTCTTTTATGCTTTACGCTCCTCGCTTTCTTCGCTCTAGCGGGAAGCTTTATACGTTTCTCGTTCGCTGGGCTCTCTGCATTTGCCTTTATATCGTCGGCATGCGTGTGCGCCGCGAGGCACCCTCGTAAATGTATAGCACCTACTATGCGTGCATAGCCAACGCGCGCATTACGGCACCGTTTTGAATGAAGTTTTCCTGGCCGTCGTCGTCGTCGTCGTCGTCGTCTTGGTTCTGCTTGCCGTTCTCTCCTTCCGCGAACGAGCCGCTCACCGAGCGTCTCCATCCAGTTAAAACTCAGCGATGATAATGTTGGATAGGAGAGAGTAAAATGATAGAGGGCACCAACGAGGAAGAGAAGGTACGAAATGAGGGCGAAATGAGGACGGGAATGGGAGGAAGGCAAGGAGAATGTCATATACAATTCATACGTACAAACCTTGCGAGACATTTAGGATGCACATCCGGTTGCCAAGATGGCCGACCGTCGACTTCCGGCCCGGCAGGGAGTTGACTTTCGCATTGCCATTGTGTGCCAACTCGCACAAAGATTTTCTCTCTCTCTCTCTCTCTCTCTCTTCCTTCTCTCGTTCTCCTCGCAATTCCTCTGTCTCACCATCTCCCCCTCTCGTTCTATTCCGAGTCGTATCTTCTTTCTTTCCGACAAACTTTAGCTTTGTCTCTCACTGATGTGTACGACAATGTATCGGGAAACGCGTTAAAGTTTTGTGTAAAATCCCCAAGTACGCATATCTATTATGTCGCAACATTAATCTTTTCGTCCTCGCTTTTTCCCATATGAATTAATTACCTACTCATAAGGAATAATGTATTTGCCCGAGATTTTGTTTATTAGTAAATGTCACCCAAATTTAACAAAGGATTGTCGTAAATAATCTTTCGTGAGTACAACGTAAAATATATGTCGGCATTTGAAATATAGTTATCGCGTTATGGAGGTTTCATAGAAAAGTTATAAATTCATGTGGAGTACCCGATACGCGGACACCTTTCGGCGGCATCGATCATTCGAGGAATATCCATTTGAAGTTTCCATAAATAATAACAAACATAACAATAAATAACGGCAGTTTCTGGCGGAAAGCGAAATATATGCAACCTTCGTTAATGCATGAAGATGTTAAAAATTCAATCGGCTCCGCGAAAATGTTTCGCGCGAGGACAATGTTCAATGGAATTAATTATTCGGCCAGACAAGCTTTCAACAGCGGAATTATTCAATGTCATTTTTCATACGCGGGCATACGCAAATGTGTCACCCGCTCGCGGAAGACTGACAATTGCCATCGCCGAAATTTGTATCCCACGCACTGCAAACCCAGATTTACGTTTTTGACACAAAGTAAGGAAAGAGATACGATATTGCGCTTGACGCCGCCGCGTCGAAAATTAGCGTTTTCCATTTAAACAAATCGATTTTAACGGCGATACAAAGCGAGCCGCTGTAACCGCTGCTTTCACGAGCAATTTGCGCGAATTCCGGATCAATCTGAAGAGTAGTCGTATTTTACCGTTTTTCCCCACGGGGGCCTCGACGTGCTCTCTCTTTTTTGCCAATTAGAATATTAACGATTTATTGCCGGCGATTTTGGCAGACTGTGCGATTCGGTCATCCTGACTGCTGCTGCCGGCGTACAGGCGATAAAGTTTTTGCTTAAAAAGTCCCTGCCCGTTTAAGATATTCCGGTCTGGTATAGCTGGGGTTGGCTAAAACATCAGGAATAGGAGACGGAGAGGCCACTTTCCTGATATCCCCCGGGATGAGATGCTATGTTTCGCCGTGCTGCGCGCGCCCTTATCTCGCTAGAGTCATAGTTCACATCAAGGAGGGCTTTTGAAACTCTTTGTTTACGGCGACTCGCCACGGACTTGAACAGACTTCAACCCTTTGACCATTGATCAATTAGATTTCAAATTTTAATATGTTACTTTTCAAAACAGAAACCCAATGTAGCTAATGTAGATATGTAAAAATAAACACATAATTTTTAAAATTTGTTACGCTCTCATAAGAAGATACACGCATCGTATTCAAGTTGTAAATTTTATATTTGATAGGAGAATTTAAATTATATCACTTACACTCTTAAATAACTTTAATATATACACATATACATTAAAAATATCAATTTTCTAATTTCTCAATGAATCGCCTTCTTCTAAAATGTTAGAAGCATTGCAAAATAAAATCTATATTGGCCTCTCTTAAGCTGTCATTCTTTCGTCTCGTAGACCCATGGCCCCACGTGTCCACAATCCAATAGTTTCCTCGTGGTCGACACTTTCTTTCGTCGGTTATTCCGACTCGAGGCGGCGGAAAATTTTATGCGACGGCTGACGTCCCCCGCAAACACTCGGTCTCTCGCACTATCAATATTTGGTATATGCATATTCCGGCATCGGGGACGAAGAGTTACGGTCGACAAGGGGCGCTTTCCTCCCCCGCGAAAGAAGGGGAGAATCGGGCTCGGGGGTCGAGAATTGTAATCGCGAAGGTGTACTTCGAGGTACGTTTCCCCTCTTTGCCCACAGTATGTAGCTTTCGTGCGGCGACACCGTATCTCCAAGTTCAATGTTTGCTCAGCTTGATTCATATCCCTTGGCCCACTCATCCCTATTATCCTTGGCTCTCCACAGGACTCCGTGCCCGTCCCTCTCTAAACCTGTCCCTGCCTATACCGCGTCTCGCGTAGAAAGCCATAGTTGTGTACCCCTTGTTCCCCTTCGCTCTTTTTACGTGCGTGTGTATGCGTATATACATACGTGTATGTATGCATTGGCATAGGCGGGTAAGATCGTAAGCTCTTTCGAGACTGTACTTCTGTACTTTTATAGAATTGAATTCGAGAAGCACTTACAGTCGATTCGAGAACGAGAAAAAGATAGCTCAACGAAAAGATAACTCGAAAAAATTAAACTCCGAATAATTCTATATATTTACGATTAAAATTAAATATGTACATGTATATCTATATATATATATATATATATATATATATATATATATATATGTAGATGTTACACATACATCTGTGTATATTATTTAGAATCACAAATAAAAAAACAATTTTCTGTTGTCTTTCTGATATAAATAATTAGTTAATATTAAACACAATTCAAATAAAAATTGTAGATAATATTCTTATTAGTTATTACAATAAAAATAATTATAATTAATTGTACATCTAACAGAGATAAAATAATAAACAATTTTCTACAAAATAATTTTAAAAATACTATACAATACTATATGACATCACTTTTAAAAATACTAACCTTTTGATAACACGAAAAATATTGAAGAGATCACTGCAAATATTTATGAAGAGAATGAGACATTTGTGATTATTTGAGATATTTTTGATTATTTGCTGCAATCACTTCTACTCTTTTACCTATAGTTTCAAGCATTACCTTTTTCACGCTTTCAAGCTTTCGTTCTGTTTACAAGGTCGGTGGAGAAAGAGACAGAAAGAGAAAGAGAAATAATTCCTTTTCAAACAATAATTACGACTCTTCCAATTTACAGAAGTTCAATAAGATATTTGATTATTCCAAAGCAATATAGTTTCTAATCTCTTTTTAATATAAGATTCAACGTAAATTTTAAAATATATTTGCAAGTTTCAAACTCAAATTATATATTTTAATATATATACTGACTTGTGCTGCAAATAAAACACCTATATTTGTACATTTTACATAAATATTCTTAAATATTTTATGCGATACGAGCTTCGACAAAATAGCGGTCAAAAAGCAAAATCTAATTTAAAATAGATTTACGACTGTTATATATTATCATAAGGATTGAAGATTAAGATATCCAAGAGCGCAGTCGAGTTTGAAATGTTCAACTGGACCAGGCGCTTTAAGAGAAGCGTAAATTGCAAAGTACAGTCGTGCAAAAACCCACGTATGAAGTAATAAGAAAATTTGAGGACGGCGCACGGTATCATTTGTCATTGTCAGCCTGACCTCGAATGTGCAGACCGACGTTCCACATTGTTCTATTTCTATGCTTTTAACAATATTGTACATCACGTTGGCTTCTTCTCTTTTCACCCTGCTTCTTTTGTTGTCCTTCCTTGTCTAACTCCAACTCCTCTCAGTCACTCAAGTCAGCGGACGATATATCTTCATGCGGTAAGAAAGGGACATCCAACAACCGCCTTTACGATCCTTTAGAAGACACCACAATTTAGCCTTAATTTCACGCTAGGATTTGCGAAGGCAATAGAATTGCGCCATTCGGCTTCTATAAACTAACAGCTATTGCAGGCGGGAGAGGTACGAGGATGAAGTTTCAAGACCAAAAGATAACCTTATTATAATTATACTTGATTAAAATTGGTTATAATATAGCCTGTTTATCACTTCTTGTAAACTGCTGCAATTATTACAACAATAAGCAGTTTATTACGTATAATCATCTATTAACTTGTATCTTCGTATTCTAATAATTCTAACAAAATTATAATCCATTCGAAAAATCATAAAATCTTTTATTTTTATACAATAAAAAAATTAAAAAAGAGCAATTTAAAATTACTGTATACGATTGTGAAAAATATTTAAAATAATTTGTGTGAAATAAAAATCCCCTTATATTATTTATTTATTTTCATTTTCATGTTTTATATATTATTATTTGTTTTAACAGTTTTAAAAAAGATTATTCATAAAGTTAAATAGCAGTAAGTTTGTTTTGGGAACTTTATAAAAAATAAAAATTTATTTTCTGTTTCAGGTAAGATAGCCAATTTTTACGAGGCGTAGTACTGTTCGTTACAAAATTGATGCTGCGTAAAGCCATGTGAGCAGAAACTTTATTACATATTCGAATTCACGAATTACGAACTCTACAAACTGCATGCCGTATTATGCGTTTATTTAGCTCCGAAGCTCTGTTTAATATCACGTTAAGAATATAATTATTACAAGCCTTTTCCAAAAAAAAAAAAATTTTCTCGTCCTTTTTTCCGCATTAACCAAAACTTTGATATTAAGCACTTGAATATTCATGGCGCGGCTTTTATTACATGAATAACATTACCTTTCTTCACTCCGCAGCGCGAAGCATTAGGGACGTAAATCACGGCTCGAGTTCATACATTTTACATGATTTTAGTTTATAACGCGCAGTTAGCGTGGATCATTAATTTCAATAATCCTTCGGATATTGCTCGCACGTAGACGCAACTATAAATGTAACTTTTCGTTGTCGAAATCGTTATCGTACCGATATTAGCTTCCATATGTATAATACTCTTACACACATATGTCCAAAATATATGATATAAATAAATTATTTGTCTTTTTTATTATATTCATTTTTTCAACATTTCTTTATCTGTCTTTCGTCATTGTTCTAAGCAATTAAGCTTATGGATATATCTGCAAACTAGAAAATTAAATCTAGTTTAACTGTAACTTTAACATAATATTATGATTGTCGAACTTACTAAGTTTATTTTTTAACTCTAACTAATTAAAGTGTTTATATTGAATTAAATTGTTAAATGCTATTTTCAAACTTTTATTTACAAAAAAACTAAAATACTTAATTTTTACACAAATCATTTAATTCTTTTTGTAATATTTGTATATTTAATGCATAAAATATTTCATGTATTTTCACAAAATAACGTATAATAATAAATAATAACATAATTTAAATATTTGAAATATTAGCAAGAATTATTAAAATTTTAAATATTAAAATAAAATTTAAAATGTGTAATTTAAACTTTACGATGTAACTAAATGAATATACAATTGATTGTTATGATGCTTTATAAAAATATTCAGCAGAAAGTATCAAATTGCATATAACCGTATATTATTAAATAATTAATCTTATTAATGTAATCTTATTTAACGTAATGCTTTTACGAAGCACAATAAACGTATTAAATTCCATTCGCACAGTACAACTCCGCTAAATGAAGACAGGCAACCGATTATAGAGCATGACCACGTACAACAGTGACTAAGGACAGCAAGGGTGAAAACCAACCCTTGCGCACCTGCCCGCTCCCATGTTCGATTAGCGATGAATTATCCCCGACCAGGCTCCCATGCCCAGTAATTCTACCTGTTGGTCTAAATCTCAGTCCGTTCTCCCATTGATTATTCAGCTATCAAGCATTTTCGAACGTTAATGTTTAAATCAATCGAGCCCTGTATTCCACGCGTTTCACGCGAGAAGAGAGTGCAACACGTTTATCCAATGCTTGTGCAACGTGGCGAAAAAAAAATTAATTTCGTTCACGTAATGAAACATTTCGACGGCCGAAACTAATGAATCAATGGAAAACATAAATGATTAAACAGGCGGAATTTTTATCTGGCATCGATACGAAAACATAATTTTTAATCTGACAAAATTACTAACCAACTGATATTGTCTAAATTACTCTTAATGAATTGTGCCAGCGACAGCAGCGGAAACCATTGTAGAGATCCAATTCAATCCAAATTTACTCTGCCTTGCATCGGACACGTGATCGATAGTTAGAAATACTCTACGAGAAGGGAAGTGACCATGTGTACCTTTTTCATTTTGCAGAAATTCCGATTTCGCTAAATTTGAAAATCAATTTCGTTTCCCGCTGGACAATGTATCTTTCGTCATCGGTATTGTATTACTAAATTGCATAAAGCATAAAATGCAAATTATTTCTTTACAAATCGCAATTGTATCGAAACACGATTTATTTTATTTATTATAATAAATTATTGCGAGTGCGTGTGTTATGGTTTTCTTACACGTTGAGAATTTTCAATTTATATACATATAATATCCAAAAATGGTTACTGACTTGTATCGATGCTTATACTTGATGGAAAACTTTAATCTTCCTTGCTGGAAAGCCTCCAAATACCTGATAATAAATAATTCTTTGCAAAAATGTCCGTCCATCATTTTTATATTCATACCGTATATAAAGCGTGTATTGTTGCATAAATTGATTTTTTTGTACGGTTTATCAACACGTCCGCGAGTGTTCGCGTAAGCAATAATCATAAAAGGTTCAATCGCAGGGTATTGGATCACAAAGGCGATACAGGAGATGGAAGATAGAAGAAGGATATGGAACGGGAAATACGTGATGTAGATGTTAACTTTCTGGCCTGGTCGTCGTGCGGGGTGTCGTTATACCGTACCATGCGCTCGTATATAACGGCGCGAGAGTTTCCGCTCTTCGTAGAGCGGACAATATCTTTATCTTTACGAGGCTTTGAGCTTTTTAATTTCATGACGAATTATCGTAAACGAAATGCCTACATAGCAGGCTTCGGACTGTAGTACTTTGTTAACGGCCACACATAAATCTGCCCGGACGTTCAAATATTAACTGTTTCATGATATACGATCGCGAAGTTGAAATTGCACGGTTATAACCCCTGCTACGTTTGACTGCAGTTTGAGCATATCCCCGCTGCAATTTCGTAAGCGACAAATTGATTGTTCGAGCACGACGTCAATCGAATTTCTGCCGCTTGGCCAGTCGCGAATGACAGAATCAAACGCATGAGATTTTTCTTAAATATAGACATTTGCTGGTGGAGTCTGCTATGATGGCTGTATATCACGTAAGCAAGGAGATTGTCCGTCCGGCCCGGTCGACACGACGACACTTTTTCATACAGAGGATACAGCGGGATTTTTGGTTGAATGTTAAATCTCGGCAGACGGTGCGGAGACAGAAAGAAGAATATGAATTACGCATCCCTGGGACTTATTTGGCTTTCTGGCGGAGGCTTTGAATTTTCAACAGGGAAACGCTTGAATTTTAATCAACATATAAAGTGGCTATTTTTCAACGTATTCCTGGATACTTTCAGCATGTTTCGCAAAAATATGAATATGAATAATTTCCTTATCACTGTGGATGCCACTAACATAGGAGATGCTGTACAACAAAAAAAATATAAACATGTTGGCGAAAGTTTACATAGTCCAAGTATATATGTATAAGCTCAAATTATAGAGTCTGCCTTTTTTCCGTTCTTCTTAAGACTAAGACGTTATTATATCTCGGACGAGAACTATATCTCTTATTACAAAGACTATATTGAGAATTTAAAAAACTACCCGCTTACGACAGTTGCACGTGGAATTAGTGTATAACGAGATTAAGTACTTCAATTTCTGGAAGTAATCTAATATCGGATTAACAAGTCTAATTTTATTCATTGTCATAACATATTCTACTCGAATGACTGTCTGAATCGATTCGGCAATTATTAAAAAATTAAACAGCACTAAAGATAGACCTTTTAAATATGTAGAAAGTTCCTTATTAATATTTATTGCTCTTTAATTTAAAATAAAAGTTTTCTTCTTTTGATAGAATAATAAAATTATAAACTTTACTGTATAAAATAAAATAAGTATATTATATTATGCGCCATTTAACTCTATTTATAACTTTTATATATGAGAAAAAAATGTAATGATTATTCATCCAATGTATTTCACAAGAATAGATACGTGTGTTTCATTTTTTCTTTCTCATCTTTTAGAATCTTATCTTTTCGGTCAATCAGTGTCTAAAACTTCGAATGTACTCAAAGAGAAGATGAAAGAATCATACCAAAGTTAATTATAAAACTAAAAGAAATTAAATTGTACGTTAATGAGAATCAAGACTTTTAATTAGTCAACTTTATAAAAGTAAATATAATATAATTGAAAACTCATAAACAAGCAAAAAAGGAAATATATATTATATTTCAAATAAATATAAATTCATTTTTGTCATACACATCTTTAAAGTATAAAAATTTAATCAAATTTATAAGAATTTATAAAGAAAAAATACCTATATAAATTAAATTCTTAAATTTATCCGGATTTATTTTGGAGACACAAAGTAGGCAGCATAACATAGTTCACTTGTATCAGAAATTCAAACAATTTATTATTGTATCAAGATGCATTGTATTAGTTAAAGATTTTCACATGTATTCTATGTATGTTCGAAATTAGTGGATACCGTATCTACTGTGTGAATACACAAAGATATATGCAAAGTTTGAAACCCGTGTTTACAATTTTCGGTACATGCACCCCTATAGAGAACGCCAGTAGCATGCCATTGTTGGCACATTGTTAGTACTAGACATGTATCATCAAAATGTGAACGCCCTCACTCATGTTAATGCATATTATATTTACTAAAACTATTAACAAGAAATACCAAGAAATAACATAACTTATTGGAAAATATTTAAAATATGTAATCTATTTATAAATTAATATAGAAAATTATATACTTATGTGACAAATTTTTATCGTATTTTAATTTCATATTTTAGGCAATAGATTTTAAAATATGCAATTTTGTATTGCTATTCGCAGTTTTCCATTTTGTTAATAGAACAATTGGAATAATTATGATAGTTAAATATGATTTTGTGATATATATATATATATATATATGTAAAGAGAGAGAGAGAGAAAGAGAGAGAGTATCCCGTATAAGTGGTCATCCCTTTTTACCTCGGAAACTAACAGAGATAAAGGGTGGCTACTTATCTGGAGACACCCTAAGTGTGTGTGTGTGTGTGGATGTACTTTTCAATAGTAAAAATAATATATTATTTTAATATTAATTTTCAAATGACCTATTATTCTCCCTCTTTCTCTTTCTCTCTCTAATTTAAATAATTTATTTTTTATAAATTTATGTAAAGTTATTATACTTTATATAATATGTGAATATATTATATTAGATATAAAGTAACAATTCTCATAAAATGCAAAATTAAATTAAAGTCTTACGTGTAAGAATTAAGTTTATATGATCTTTCATTTCTTTTATTTGTAACACTTGTTAATCATTTTAAATTCGACAATCGTAAAAATTGAATAATGCTGGATATTTTAAAATTTATTGAATCCATTTCTACACTGTACAAGCGCTGGTAAATGTTAGGCCTCAATTTCTTGCATAAAGAAAGACGGTGGTAGAGAAGAAGAAGAGTAAAAGCTTCAGGGACTTTCGATGTAGGTACAACATCCGCCCAAGGGCGAAGGAGAAAGAGAGAGTTAAGTCGGCGGATGGCGGAGGGTCGACTACCTCGTGAAATAACAATTCGGTTTCGATCGCGAGGAGTCTGGAAATTTTCATCTCCGCCCGAAGGCACGAGACGCTATGGCGGGGAGAGGGGGTGCGGGGGGGAGGGTGGTTGGCGGTCCGTTCTGGAAAGGTGGCGAGAGAAGGAGGCTGGATCGTAGTGGGTGCCAGGCGGAGATGGTAAGGAGAACTAGGGGATGAAACTGG